CGTGTACAGGCTTCTCATTTGAACACAAAATGTTCAAATGAACACTTATAGTTATGTATTTAAATTTAAAAACACAGTTCCTATAAAGTAGTCAAACTCATGCAGAGTTAAATATAATCCACATTCTACCACACAGACTGAACTAAGGTAGTTAAGTTTAGCAGGATATGCTACCCCAAAATATGTCTTCTTGGCATAAGAATTATTTTGAACTGATTATTTTAAGAAACAGCAGACGCAGGAGATGCTTTGAAAACAGAGTAGTTACCTTTTGTAAGGGAACTTTACATTTAAAAAGGAAATCTCCATTTGTAAGGGTGTCTCACTCACTGTACCAGGAAGACAAGGGTGACTCTAAATCATGAGGCAGACTTATCAGTGAAGAAGACAATTACTTAAATTTGCATAACAAAGTGTGTTAATAAATTTCTGTTTTCCTCTGTTTATCTGCCTTTTATTACAGGGGGGTCTCAGCCAAGAAGTCAGAATTATAGAGTAAAAATTATTTTTCTCCCCTATGGTAGCTGTAAACAATCTACAAGTTTTTAGGGAATAAGGCAAGCCTATGAGAAACTTTTGCAGGTGAGGGGAGTTGGTGATATTTTGCTATGTCCTAGTGATAGTATCCTCATTTACTAGTTAAGCTGTACTATTACCAAAGTATGTGCACAAAAAGCATTACATATGCTACTACAAAATAAGTTCTTAGGCTACTCCATTTCCTATACTGTATATTATATCCCCATGGCTATTCTGTCACTACCTATTTGTCCTTCTTAATCCCCTCACCTCTTTACCCATTCTCCCTCTCTCCCCTCCCATCTGGCAACCTTCTGGCAACTAACTTTTTTTCTCTTGATTTTAACAGTCTCTCTTTATCTTTAACCTTTGGCCTTTGAATTGTGATGTATCTTGAAGCAGACCTCTTTGCATTCATCATAACTGGGACTCTCTGAGCTTACAGGACTTGCGTGTCAGATAGATTTCCAATTTCTTGCTTTCTCTTTTCTTTCTGGCACCCTTCTGAGGTGAGTGTTGGTCCTCTTGAAGTTGTCCCAGATGCTATTTATACTATCCTCATTTTTTTGGATTCTTTTTTCTTGTTGTTGTTCTAATTGGTTGTTTTGTTTCTTATGTCCCAAGTCATTGATTTAATTCTCAGCTTCATCCATTCTACTGTTGTTTCTCTATAGATTGTTCTTTATTTCAATTAGTGTATCCTTCATTTCTAACCAGATCATTTTTATGCTGCTGAGGTTCTCACTAAGTCCCTTGAGCATCCTTATAATCAGTGTTTTGAACTCTGCATCTGATAGATTGCTTATCTCCATTTCATTTAGCTCTTTTTCTGAAGTTTTGATCTGTTCTTTCATTTGGGCCATGTTTCTTTGTCTCCTCATTCTGGCAGCCTCCCCGTATTTGTTTCTATGTATTAGGTAGAGCTGCTTTGACTTTATGTCTTGGTAGTGTGGCCTAATGTAGTAGGTGTCCTGTAGGGTCCAGTGGCACAGCCTCCCCTATCACCCAAGCTGGGTACTTGAGGTACACCCTTTGTGTGGGCTGAGTACACCTTCATCTTGTAGCTGAGCCTTGGTTGCTGTTGGCAGATCAATGGGAGGGAATTACCCAGTCCAGTCAGCTGCAAGGACTGGCTGTGACCACTGACCACCAACCACCAAACTCCACCCTCTGTGGAGGATCAGCTGTGCAGGGACAGAGTAGGGGTGCTCTGATGTGGTCTGTAGTTGTCCATTGGGTGTGTTGGCCCTGGGGTTTCCTGGTTGGTGCGGGCCAAGGTCAGCCCCCACCTGTGTTTTGCCCAAGGCACTCTGCCTGAGCTATAAGCAATCTAAGATGGCTGCTACTTCCGCTGGGCTTGGAGATTCCCAGATGAAGTCAAGCTGTGACTAATCTGCTACCGCTAGGACTCATTGCAGCCAGCTGTTGCTTGTTTGATAAGATTTAGGAACCAAGACCAGCCATTCATATGGAAAAGCATTTTGGGTTGGCCTGTAAGTTGGGTGGGTCACAGCCTCTGTGGATCCCCAAGGTGGGTCACACAGTGTTAGCCAGGTTAATGGAGTCTCAGATGTGGTACCAGCCTACCAGCTCTGTGAGGGGAGGGTTCAGCAAAGGGACAATGGCCTCTGCTTGCCCCAATGCCAGATACTTCAGTCTCTCCCTATATGCCACTGGTGCCCTTCAAGCTGCCACTCTAGTGCTGGAGCTCAGAGGGAGCGAGTTTGAGTAGGTGAGTCCGTGTGTGGGTTCCCCAAGAGGAACTGCTTAGGGCTCTAGCAGCCTCCTCCACTGACTCAATTCCCGCTGGTTTTTGCAGCCAGAAGTTGTGATGACTTATCTTCTGGCACTGGAATCCTGGGCTGGGAGGCCTGGTGTGGGTCTGGGACTCCTCACTCCCCTAATATCCCTCCCAAATTATTACCCACAGTGGGTGTGGGGCCAACCTGTTCCACATCTGCATCCCTACTACCATTCTGGGTGGATGTGGTTTCTTCAATTCCGTAGTTGTCAGACTTCCATTCAGCTCAATTTCTGATATTCCTGATTGATGGTTGTTTTTATATTTTAGTTGTAATTTTGATGTGGCCGTGCAAAGAGGTGCGCCAAGTGTGCCTAAACTGCCATCTCAACTGGAAGCCTGATGTTTCTTTTTTTATTCCAAGTGGAAGACAGCAAAATATCCTGAGTAATGAATTAGAAGTTGTAGTTAAGTGGATAATGAGAATGGGAGATTTTCCATATATATTGAAAGTGAATAGATAGAAAGGAATTTGAATATCTGATACTTAGACATTTTTATCCTTTTTTTCTCACTTTCTAAATTCAGCTTTTTGCATTTTCTGCATGCAGCTGTGACAGAAGCTATACATCCTGGCTCCATCTCCGGGTGTTGGTATAGATCAGGCTTCATGCCGAGTGCTAAACAATTCACCAGCTGTGTATCAGAGCATGTGAGCACATGGGGGATCAGCCACAAACTATTCTTATTCATTGCATGGGAAAAATGAAGAAAATGAAAGAAAGAAGGAGAGACAGAGAGAGAGAGAGAGAGAGAGAGAGAGAGAGGAAAGAAGGAAGGAAGGGAGGGTGGAAGGGTGAAAATGCAGTTTTGGGGACTCTACTCCTTAGGAAGGACCCCAGTTACGTCTCTTGTCTCTGTCTGAGCTTAAATAATGTAACTCATGAAACTGACATCGTAAATGAGGGGGAAAAAGGCCTGGGGCAATGGAGGAGAGGCACTTTGTCCAATGTAGTGGATAGAGAAAAGAAGCAAAAACAATTTTAAACAGATAAGAACATGTGAATCATGTTGCTCATGAAAAACCTTTTCATGTCTTTTTGAAGATTTGTGAATTTAATGAATATAATTGTGAGGTGTGTGTTTTAATATCACATAATAAAACTCAAGAGATAAGGAAAAAGCTTAATTGATTGTCCAATTTCATTGTTTGGATGCATTTATTTTCACTTCCCATTTATTTGAGGCTATGTGTTTCAAATGGTAGCAAAACTGCTGTCCCAAATTTAAATGTCTTAGCTAAGTTTTTAAGTTTGAAGATGTTTTATGTATACTTTGACAATTAGAAAAATAAAGTATCCTACTACATTCTTCTCCCAGTTAACTTGACAGGCAATATAGTGTGACTCAGAAAAACTAGTTCTCTAGTCTTGCTCTGCTAATTCCTTACTGTATATTGTGGACAAATAGCTAATCTCTTCAGAGCTAAGTTTTTTGTTTTTGTCTCTCAAATGATAGGGTTGGACCAGACTGTCCTCAGGGCTCTTTATCCATTATAAAATTCTGTATGTTTTTAAAATTATTTTTATTTTTAACCTGCATCTACTTGGTATAAAACAAAAGAGACATGTGGAAGAAAATCAGTCAAAAACCAACAATTTAGGTCAGAAAAAAATTGTAGGCTTGAATTATCCAAATGCACATAAATGTACATAAGAGATATAATTTACTGAACTACCCTTCACTTTTCAGTGTATAATTACATTATTTTTTTAATTCCATTAAAAATATTCACAGTGCTTTTGAAAAAGATTCATTTAAAATTTTTTATTTAAAAGTCATTCTTTTTACCCTGGCTGGTGTGGCTCAGTTGGCTGGAGCGTCATCCTATAGACTGAAGGGTAGCAGGATTGATTCCCGGTCAGGGCACATGCCTGGGTTGCAGGTTCGGTCCCTGGTCAAGACGCATATGTAAGGCAACCAACTGATGTTCCTCTCTTACATAGATGTTTTTCCCCCTCTCTCTCTCTCCCTTCCCCTCTCTCTAAGATCAATAAGCATGTCCTTGGATAAGGATATAAATAAATACATAAATAAATTGTTCTTTAAAAAGTCATTCATTTTACAAATATAAAACACTGTTAAAAACATTTAGATGACAAGTGTGATATTTATTGGTAGCACCATTTGGGGCAGAATAGCTTTTCCTCTGAAGGGGTTCAGAATGAGTCTCCCCAAAATGTGCCACTTTGGCATGTGGATTGTTTTAAACTGACAATAATCAAGACCCAACAGACTTAAAACCTTTTACTTCTTCTTTAATTGCCTTTAGATAGGGGGCCTAGCCCAGAAAAAAGAGCTAGTACCAGAAATACCTTTTTATTTGAATGACCTAACTGAACGGCAGGACAAACATCTAACTATATCTAATTATTAAACACCTGCTCTTCTTATCATTCTGTGAATTACCCTCCTCCCCTTTGAAGCGCCAGGCGCCTATCCCATTCCTTAGCTCAGGATGGCATATAAACCTCAACTGCCCAAATTGTCCTTGGGTTTCACTGTCTTTGTGGCGCCCCTATATTCACATAATTAAATTTGTTTTTTCCTGTTAATATGCCTTTTATTAATTTGCTTATTAGACCACTCAAAGAATCTACAATGGTAGAAGGAAAATTTCCGCCCCTACAGTTGGTGTAGTTGGCAGGATAAACTTCACTGGCTGGATACTACTTGCTTCATGGGTGCAGCAGCTGAGAGATCCAGCGACCTCTGGCAGAAGCTGGCAGAAAGTAAGAATTCTTACCACATCAGTCTTCAGATCTCTGCCTGCAGGGTCTGGTGGAATCAAGAGTGATGAGAGTCCCTTTCTTTTCCTAAATTTAGATTATCAGAAGATAATATTTGTGCGAACTAGTTCCTTGGGTATAGAGGCTTTGGTAAAGATTTGTTATGAGTACTCTTCTATTGATACCTTTTCTCCCCGGAGATGGTATCTGTTTTTCTTTGTCATAGTCTTTCATTTTGTTTGTCAGAAGGGGGAAAACCACATACTTTCATTCAAGCTGGCCTCACAGGTGGTGAGTTCACAGCTCTCCCCAAATTTGTGTCTGTTTAGATGAACACTGAGGTAAACACTGTTGTTAATGGGAATCTCAGAAGCCTGACACTGCAAAATTGCTGGGTGTAGGTCAAGCACTGAAAAGGCTAAGAGTTAGAGTGCTTGCCACTTAACTCTAAGACTCCTGTGTTAGGAAAAGTTGGTCATGAACCCATCAGATTGATTCTAGGTCAACCACCAAAATCAAGAAAATTTCCATGCAACGAGGGATACTGCAAAACACCACCCAATCTGCAATCCAGCAGCACTTCCCACTTAAGGATCAATTTGGCTCACAGAGACCCAGGGCCTAGCTAAATCTGTTAATGTGCACATAAAAAAGAAAAACCAGATGAGGTTTTTCTCTCGTCTTGTTTTAGGTCCGACAGCTTGGCTTTATGACCAGTGAGAATACTCTCCCTGGTCTCCGCCAACTGGAGGATGCACATACTGGCATGCATTCGGAAGATATCCAAATAGGCTGTGGATCTGAAAAGCAGTGTTCTCTTTGTCTGATTGGGCCAGTTTGCAGAGGAGTTTGTCATAGTGTTCTGGTCCATAAGGGACCTTTGCTGTCTCAACCATCATGTCTTGTTATTGCTGGAAATTCGTCTCCTCCACCATCTTTATTTAACCCTTATCCTCAACTCCCTGTCCCTGACCCTCCAGAAGATCTTTTAAATCTCTGGGCTCCTGGTCTAAACCCTCACCCTCAAAATTCAGCCCTATCACCTCAGCAAACTCCCTCAGATCCCCCAAACTCTTCTAAATTCCCCAGAAAATCCCTTAAACTCCCAGCTGCTTGTTTTTATACCCCTTTCCTCATAAGATTTACAGAGAGCACTTCAGTTGATCACTAGGCCCAAAGTATATAGGTTACTTATGTAAATACTAAAAACCAGGAAGTAAATTTAATTTCAGAAGCCAAAAGCTGCAAAGAAGCACCCAAGATGGGCATAGGGCTTGTTTTTCTGTTCCTTACAACTTCTGTTCTCCAGGGCGCTGTAACTCTGTACTGCTAGCTTCAGGCCTTTCTATGCAAGATCCTTTGTGAATGTATATTGGAGTCCTACCCCAAAGGACTTATGTCACTAGACAGCAGCAGATCTCTTAAACTGCAAAGCCCTTTTACCTCCACTTTCGGAATATCCTACCAAATTTGGAGAGAAGTTGGAAAGACTAGTGGTCATTTACTACCCTACTCAAGGGACCTAGATCAGCTGTCAAGGGGTGTTACTAGACAAACCAGGTGGCACCATGGGTAACACACCCCCCAAAAATGGCCAGAATTTCTCCCAAGCCCTCCTACAAATGACCAGGAAATGGCTCAACTGGAGGCTGATATTCAGGGGCTGATAACAGCAATAGTAGAGGTTCCCCCCTTAATGTAAATTGGTCTAAGGTTGATTGAAGAGTGCACTCAGAATGAAGGAGAAAATCCAAAGGTTTTTGTTGAGTGCTTTAAACAGATTTTTCAAAAGCATAGTGCACTAAACCCTGAAACTCCAAAATACAGAGATCTTTTAATTTCCACTTTAGGGGGAAAATTCCTTACTGATTAAAAATAAAGAACAAATTGAAAATAGCGTGGTCGAGTGGTACAGCTAACCGGCCAACCTCTGAGAGTTACAATGGGAGCAACTACCTAATTCTTTGAAAATAGCTTACAAGAATGCAGGAGGGAAGGAGATAAAAGCAACATTTCTTGCTTGGCAACATGAATTTAAAAAACAAAAACATGACTATGAGTGTAACTTAAAATGTGTTCAGATGCTTCCTTATTTGCCTCCAGATATTTGCTGATATTGTTACAAATGGGAACATTGGAAGAGAAATTGCCCTGCACTTGAGAGACAGAAAGTTTAAGAAATAAACTCCCAAGACCCAGTCATTCCCAGGAAGCTTGTTTTTCTCCTCCTGTGGGACAATTTCACATCAAATGACAGGGTCAGCTGATCTTCACTTGTACCCTAGATCCCAACGTTAAGTTAAACTTAAAATAGAGCATCAGAAACTGGACTTCTTAATGACACTGGTGCTTCTTTCTCTACCACCCAATTAGAGGGTTTATCCCAGCTGGTCACCTCTGATTCTGTGCAAGCTGTTGGAGTGTCTGGGCACCCTATTTCACTGACAATATCTCAACCTACCTCAATATTCATAGGCCCTCTCAACACTCAGCATGCCTTCCTGGTTTCCGACTCATCACCAGTAAACCATTTTAGTAGATTTGTTATGTAAATTTTATGCCACTATAAAATGTAATGAGAAAAGCATTTTTATTTCCGTGACTTCATGTAACAGAGTAAAATGTTCAGTCTCTCTTTGACTTCCATTTATCCAAGCCTGCTCTGTTACCCCATTGCCTTCAGGCTAATAGTTTCTGCTAAGTCTTGCATATAGGCATGCTAATCATTATAGGAATTCTGCTTGTGGGCTTGAGTTTTATAAAAACAGCTCCTCCCATTTCCCTTTTCCTTACCATAAAAGAAGTCTGAACTCAATCATTTCTTAAGATGGATTTAAGGTACCAGTAGGGCTCTCATCTTCTCAGTGGGTGCCTTCTCAACCAACAAACCTTTCCTTACTCCAAACTCTGATGTTTGAGTTTGGCCTTTCTAAGCATCAGGCGCATGACCTTTGGACTGGTAACACTCAGACCGAACCCCAAATTTCCTGCTTTCTTTACTGGAAACTCATCCCAATTTAAATTCCTATGAAGAGGCTGAGTCTTCAAAAGATGCCCCAATTAGTCTCTGGACTATGCATGCAGATGAAGGTGGATTGTTCCTGAGTGGGTACATTGCTTGAAAAAAAATAAACCTTTTCCATCAGTTGTCAAATATCCTCTTTCTTGAGATACAGAGGAAGGAATTAAATATATAATAGTCTTTCTTTTACAACAGGGTGTACTCGTCTTTACCGCCTAACCCTGTGGCACTTGAATCTTGCCAGTAAAGAAAAAAAAATTTGATTCAGATGGGAACCAAATCTCTTGATTCATATAAGCTCTAAGAGCCATAAAATTTCATAATTCCTTGCCACCCCATAATTCTTAATCTAGCTACTATTCTTACCTCAAGTCCTACTGATGCAATCTGGTTTATAGTAATTAACCTCTGCTCAGCTTTCTTTTCAATCCAAATGCATCCTAACTCACAATTTCTTTCATTTATGTTTAAGGGAAGACAATTAACCTGGACTTGCATGTCTCAGGGAAAAAGCAAGTCTCCCTCAATATTTTCCCAAATCCTTAAAACCAACTTGAATTTTGTAGCCTTTACCCAAGGCTCCACTCTTGTTCAGTATGTTGATGACCTTTTTACTTTGTGACCAAACGAAGCAGAAAGCTCACGTAGGCTCCTTCATTCTCTTACAGCACTGTCTGAATGAAGTCGCATAGCCTCCTGATCTAAACTTCAGTGGGTACAAACAACTGTTACCTATTTAGGACATGAGATACCTCAGGTTATTTAAAAACTAATTTCAAAGCACCCTGAGTCAATTTTATTCATTCCTAACTTCAAGACAGTAATTCAGTTATGCAAATGCCTGGGTCAGCTGGCTACTGCTGCCAATGGGTTCCTAATTTTGCTACCCTTTGCTAAATATATCTATGCCCTATTCCCAGATATCACCCCAGAGACTATTGTGGGGGTCCTCAGAGGCATTAACCCCATTTGAAAACTTGATATTACATAGTCCACACCCCAGCCCTCAGTTTACCTAATTTTGACAAACTTTTTCACCTTTATATAGTGCCCTGAAAATAATGGAAGTTCTACAGGTATTCTATGATACCCTTTTGCCTCTCAGTTACATCCTATAGCACATTTCTCATGTCAATTAGACCCTGTGGCATCGGGTATGCCCTCATGCCTGTGTGCGGTAGCCACAGCTGCCACCTTGATTGATAAAGTCTGTGCTCTATTAGGCTCTCCCATTCACCTCTATGTTCCCTGTGCTATGTCTGCCCTATTAACAAGTTCACAAGTTTACAAGATATAAGTTCACAAGATGCAAGTATCTGCTCTCTTACAAGTTCCCAAGATATGAGTTCCCAAGTTTACGAGATACAAGAAGTTCAAAACAAGTTTACAAGATATAACACCTTTATACATGACACCTATGAGCAGGCTTCATTGACCGTAACTCCCATCGTCTTACATTATTATAACGCCTTAACCCCACCTACTTTTCTAATCCACCTTGATGGTGGAGAGCCTACTTCATTCTACACAATTGTCTTGCAACTGTAGAAATGGTCTCAAAGCCACGAGAGGACCTCTTAGACATCTGCTTGTACAGCCCAGACTTCTATTTTTTGATGGCTCCTGTAATTGAAATTTCCAGGGAAACGTAATAACCAGTTATTCCATAGTTTCCCCACAAACAACACTTGAAGCATATTTTTGGCCCACTGTAAAATCAGCCCAAGCTACTGAACTCATAGCTCTTACTAGAGCTAGCACCTTGGTGAAGGGGAATACTGCCACCATTTACATGGACTCCAGGTGTACTTTTGGAATCTGCCATGCATTGGCACAATTTAGAAATTCCATGGATTCTTAACTTCTGAGGGTACTCCCATTGCTAATGGGTATGTGATTGCTGCCTTATTACAGGCTATTCACCACCCTTCTAATATTGATACTGTTCACAACCCAGCCCATACTAAAAAGACTAATACTA